ACTCCTTTTTACTGTTCAAGAAATGCTATAGTGTGCTTTAGTTTCTGTAAGATCTTCCCATTTTATAGCTAATATCTACCTTTTTTTCTGGTTTTTGAGAGCTCATTCAATCCTTGTTTGTGTGGAAAGTTGTTCACTGATGGGTATTCTATAAAATCTATAGTATCGCGATCTCCTCGACTCCCACAATGGGTTTGTAGACACTAGTCGAATTTACGCCACATATCTATTTTAGGTGTATAAATATTATCTGATGCAATCATTCGTTATTTAAAATCATCGCACATTTTTTTTTTCAATAATTAAATTCGGTGACTTGAAAAAATGCCAGGTTCGATGACGTCATGAACCAAATTTTGGGTTTCGCATGAAAAGTAGGGCCACATATTTCGACGCTGCCAGATTTGTAACTAGTAACTACCATATGAAATTCAATATGACCATTGACAATAGTATTCACATTCACAGAAGATAATAGTTCGGCTCGTCCCTAATAATCACTTATTGGATACTTGCAAGATGCTTCAGTACCAACAAAAATATCCTAGTATTCCTAATAATGATCGAGATTTCATTTAATCCTAAATTATCTTATTTTTTAAAATTATTTATTTGAATACTCTAAGAGAACAAAATCCATAATCCACGTCAACAAACTTATCACACATTATCTGACGAAAGTTTTTTCATGTGTATATTGAAAGTGTTAATGGACGGACTGTTTTGGATATGGTGGGGAATTTGGTTGAACCATTGTAGAGCTTGAAATGTAGTTCTATTTTTTCAACATTATTTGCACTAAGTAGTATGTGGAAGTGTTGATTTGTTCTCATGGCACGGGCAACAGAGTAATGCTCAAGTTCCCAGAGATACATAAAAAGAAGACAAACTACATTGTCAACCTAACTTCCTGGCGTCAGATTTATCGTCAATTACTTGTTTCATTTAGTCAAGATGCGAATATTCAAAGATAATCTTCATATTATCTGATTCTTTCGTTGTGTTTTGTGTTCTGTTATCTGCAGTAAGTATTCAATTAATTGAAATGACATTCAGAAATATTCTTGCACTTGTCTATCAGAAATAGAGAATGGATACGTAAGGCGAATCTTATATGGTGTTCTCGGATGATTACGTCACGCCTTTTCCCGCGTTTTTCATGTTATGAAATATCGTGAATTTCAAAAATTATTTAAAAAAGTTACAGAGCTCTGAGGTAAAAACAGTTCGTGACAGTGAACTAGATAGGGTTAGTACTTCGAACTAATGAAATAACATTTTTCACTGAATCAGGCCCATTGACTACACAGCTACAAGTAGTAGGCATGTTTGGAAGTAAACAATATTTGTATATGTTACCGTGAAAGACCGAAATTAGTGATTGTTGACATACACCGGTTAATTTCGACACACACTAAATGTATTGGTGAAAGACCGAACAATTATTAGTTCCAATATAAATTCGGTCCTTCACCGGTAGATGTCGACAAACACATATAAACTTTGGTCGATGTCAGAAACGACGGGTACTAGCAGGATTGTCGCCAGTCTTACACAAGGTTTGATTGATAGTGATATTATAATTTGTACTCGATGGCTACTGCAGTAAATAGCGAAGAAAATGGCACTTTGAAGCAGCTTTTCACCCGTAATGAATTCGCAATTTGCAAAGAAAAGTTAATTTCCATGGATGAGATTTCAGCTCAAGAAATTTCGCTAAGAGAAGCAGCTTCTGCTAATTCAAAAAGCGGAGGGCAAGGCTATACACGCTGTAACTGCAAAAACAAGTGTTCCACGTCTAAATGTAGCTGTAAAAACAGGAGCCTTTTGTGTAATTCAAAGTGTCATGGTAGCTTAAGTTGTTGCAATTAATAAAGTTGCCATACTTTTAATCTGTGTTTTACATTTTAGTTCAAGAACTAAAATGTATTTCATTTTTATATTAATATTATGTTTGTTGTGTTTGTCTTGAATTCAACAACTTCTTTATGTTCATTTGAAACCTTCTTCCATGATTTATTCACAATAAATAATGACCTATAGAGTTTTATTTTGTTTTCTTCTTATACAGAATTCTTTCACATATAGTAGAAGATCCGAACCTAAATCGACCTTCACCGAGCTGATAATAGAACGAAATATATTTTATCATGAATTTAGTATATTAGAAAACATATTAAAAATGGGTTGGCTAAAAAAATCCTGGGCAGACTATTTTTAATTATTTTTCGAAAAATTATTTTTAATTAAATGTTGCAACATCAGGATAATAAAAAAATTGTGTCCTGACTGAAAGTATAAAACGTATAGAATGTGCAGCCGTTGGGTTGTCTACTATTTACCTGGGCGAACTACTGGGTTGTCAGGTAAACACAGGTATATCGATGCCAGTTACTTTCACTGGATTGGATAATTTAAAAAAAATTATATCATCATAAGCGCTGTTTAATTGCGAACACGTTGATATAGGGTTGTCTGCGAAAATTCCGGTCCTATTAGGGGTTTGCGAATTTTAAAGATTTTAATTTCAACGCGCGTGGAAGTGTGTGACAGAGAGATCCGAGGTAAGTATACTGTGTAATAATAAAGGACCCAACATCGCAGTCGCTTGTGATGGGACCCTGAATAGTAGAAAGTGCGCATGCTCGGTGTGTAAACTATGGAGGGTAGAGGAGGTACCTCTACTACCCTTCATATAGTAAACAGTGCGTGTTATTTTGGAGCAACTGATATTTTAGTAGCAAAAAAAAAAAATTACTTAATTACATAATAATTAAATATATTTAATATAATACTAATATATAAAAACAATATAATATCAATATATTGCGTTATAACCATAATGATATATCTATAATCTATAATAGACAATAAAAATATCAAATACTTACTTTGAAATTTTTTTGCTCTTTCTGGAAATAGAAACAAAGTGGACCGCCAAAAATTTAAATTAAGAAATAACAAAAAAGATAGACTAGACATCTTGTATTACGATTCGAAATTTTATTGAAAAACAGTATAAATACAAAAATAATATTAATGAAAAATAAATTCTAATAAATATTTTCTATTCAATATCTGATTCATCAGAAGTATCATTTTGACTCTCGAATTCGTCTGATTCATTAGATTCTTCCTCATTTGCTTCCATTTCGACAATGTCCTGGATTTTCAAAGGAGTTTGATCTCCGATAAAACCTGTTGGTTTTAAGAAATCATCAAAATGCCAACCATAGTTTTCAGGATTTGACTTCGCACACTTCGCACACTTTCTACTATTCAGGGTCCCATCACAAGCGACTGCGATGTTGGGTCCTTTATTATTACACAGTATACTTACCTCGGATCTCTCTGTCACACCACGCGCGTTGAAATTAAAATCTTTAAAATTCGCAAACCCCTAATAGGACCGGAATTTTCGCAGACAACCCTATATCAACGTGTTCGCAATTAAACAGCGCTTATGATGATATAAATTTTTTTAAATTATCCAATCCAGTGAAAGTAACTGGCATCGATATACCTGTGTTTACCTGACAACCCAGTAGTTCGCCCAGGTAAATAGTAGACAACCCAACGGCTGCACATTCTATACGTTTTATACTTTCAGTCAGGACACAATTTTTTTATTATCCTGATGTTGCAACATTTAATTAAAAATAATTTTTCGAAAAATAATTAAAAATAGTCTGCCCAGGATTTTTTTAGCCAACCCATTTTTAATATGTTTTCTAATATACTAAATTCATGATAAAATATATTTCGTTCTATTATCAGCTCGGTGAAGGTCGATTTAGGTTCGGATCTTAGACAAATACACCATGAGTATATGATGAATGTTGACATTCGCCGGTGGAAGTTAGAAATAATGATATTTGATTAATATATCGGACATACATACGCCGAGTAACTTGGTGAATGTTGACATTCACTGGTATATCCTGACACCGGCTTTCGGACTTTCACGGCAACATATACACTGTCATCCAATATTAAATTCAAATTTTCATGTCCGTTTATAATATAAGGAACTGCCATTACACTGATCCTGAACAATACAATTAAAGCATTGTTTATATGAAGTTACGGGATTTGTGTGCCTACCAGCAGCCATCTTGAATTTCATTTGACACCATCTTGGATAGGTCTATAATTCTCAAAAATACGACATGTTCCGCTAACACAGTACATACTCGTACAATGAGGTCTTTATTCGACAAGTATTTCACTTGAAGAAGCTACTGCGATAGCAGAACATGTCATGTGTTTCTGAGAATTTCGTGTAAATTATTCGTTGGTGAAAATTTCACAATTACCATAGATTTTCATCAACTAACGGCAAACTGTTGATATTAGGGTGAATTTAATCTTTTTTTATGTTCTGGTTCTCACGAAAAGGGATATCCTGTGATGTTCCGAGAATATCATGAGAACCAAGGGAAATAAGGTAAGAATTGGTGTTCTTCTTAAATTTCTGGAGGTTATATGCCTCGGGGAACACCTTCTAACTAATGTGTTCATCATGACATTATAGTGAAATAATGTAGTTCAATATATTTAGACAAGAAAATGAATTCAAACTCACTTAGAGATAGCGGCAGGGAAAGTGGCTTTTCTCTGACACCTATCAGGCGGGATAGTTGTACTTTCTCTGCCTAGGCAGGAAAAGTTTGTTGCTTTTCAACGTTTCAAGAAAATTGAATGACATTGGTAATCAAAATTGACACTGACATTGGATGAACACCAGGCGAATGGCCCTTTTCTGGATGGAATCTAAGAGCATCAGCGTATGTTTTGGTGCTGAACCCCATATGTGGGGGTAAAGAAGGGAGTAAAGAAGGGAGGTTGGCGTGGAAGGAAAAGGAAATTGGTTCTTTATATTCATCAAGTTATAAAACTGAATATAATGAACGCCATAAACACCAGTACCACAAATGAAAAAACTAGCAACAATTCAATGAATCACAAAATAATTTACAGATCGAGAACATTTTACTCACCAACATTGATATTCGAGGAACCGCCGAAGGCGTTCCTCACATCTCCACCAAGTCCAGAGAGAGAGTCATTGTTTATATGCATTGCTCTTTCTCGCTCACCTCTCTCTTGAGGCATGCTGTTCAGTTGCTCTCTAGTTGCCATCACTAATGGAGGTACTATGCTCTACAACAAGATGTAATGTTTTAAATTTGTCACCACAAAATACGCGTTTCTTATCCCACATCAGTAGTTTATAGATTTATCTTTTGAAATATGTTCCGTTCAATCAGCGTAATACAAATAACAATTCAAAATTTGAAAGTTGTGTAAACTTATCAATACACTTTTTTAGGAATGATTCCAAAATGTGAATAATTTGTTCCCTTCATCATCATAGTTGGTTCTTTCAGTAGGTGCTTTTGTCAGATACCTGATAGAAGGAAACAATATGTTTTTCTGCCTAACAAATGACATCCTAAGCTGCAATCCTCTTAATTTTGAATTTAATTTCAATATAAAAATAATCAACATCAACCATAATATTTTTTTCGTTCCATAAAGTGAAATATTCTTTTTTGTCCTGTATTTTAAATTGTATGGAATACAATCTTTTGCTTGTAAGATATTTTATTGATGTCGTTCATGGGATCACATGTGAAAGTTTGATATACCATGAAAACATCTTATATCCAAAAAACTGATTAACTAGTAATAAATACTATATACGGTAGAAAATGAGCGAACGCCACCTAGCGGGGTTTCTGAAAGTTGTCAAAGCGATCTGGCTTTTATGATTTCTATTATATTCTGGTTTTTGATTCATTTTACAATGTCTTTCAGTTGTCTGTGTGTATAGGTCATATTGATTGAATAAAATATTTCATTGTCCTCTTTTCTTCGATAATACTCATCTTTTTCGTCGACATCTACAAAAACTTTTCGTCCGCAAACATTTCGTCCGCTGCAGGGTTGCCAGTTCAACTGAATTTCCAGTAGATCTCATGATTTGCATATTGATCTACAGATCTACTGAAACATTTCATAATCTACTGAACTGAACAAGATCTACAAGAATCGGGAGGGTTTGTCGAATCTAACGATGAAGAAATGTCACCGAAGAGACAAAAATTACCTAATCATCACATAATCGGTTACGGATCATTATAACAAATTCAACGATACCGGGTTTGATTGGTTTATTACAAATGATCACGAAGATATTCGCGTTCGAATTTTCCATAACAGCAATGAGTGAGACAGAAAAAAAAGTTTCGATATTGCGCCGTCACATCCATTGAGCTTATGGAAACTACGAACGTGAATTATGGAAACTACGAACGTGAATATCTTCGTAATCGTTTGAAATCATTTGAAATGAAATACGGGGTGTTCTATTTGGAAATCGAAATTTAATGTCATTTCCAGGAAAACCAGATGAAAAAAATTTCCAAAAATGTGCGAAAGTGCCCTCTAATGTACATATTCGTTGTTCCAAATTTCATAAATATAGCTAGAAAACCAGAGGATAAAAAGGGGGTATAACATGAGTCTTGTGTCACCCGGTATATATTATTATTATTATTATTATTCCCAAGAAACATACATGTTTATAGCAGGGAAAATTATGAAAGAACAACTAAAAAAAAAAACAAAAATTAGATAATCAGATAATCATTTTTAAATCATATACATAATACATATAATGTTGTTTCTTCTAGAGACTGTTGAATATAATTTCTTGAATTGATTCAGGATGACATGAAGAGAATCAAAGACATAAGTATTTTTTCAGTTCTTTTTTGAATTTTTCAACACTTAATTTTTTCTTAGAGAATTGTTCCATTGATTATAGGTGTTTCGATTGAAAACGTCACTTTTATGACGTTGCAGTGACGTATCTAAGACGTCTAAAAATCAGGTCGGTGTGACGTACCAATTTGGTGAGCTTCGTCAATCAGAAAAGTTGTCAAAAATGAGCTGTTTGATTTTTGTTGGGTGACAAAGAATGCATGAATATACACTCAACAAAGTGAAGCTGAATTCGTCACCATTCTTTACATTGCCAACTAAAGGATAGCGCTGCTGAATAGACGATTGAATGGATATGACTCCAGGAAAAGTCCACCAAGCAGTCTTAATTATGTATAATCAATATTAGATGTCATCAAAGGTCAGTGGTGTTGTTTATCACACTATGTCTGAGAAAACTTTTTCACGTTTGATCACCAAATTTGAACGTCATTTTGACGTCATTTCGACGTCACCGTTAGGTGAGTGACTGGCGTCGCTAAACGTGAGTAATATGACGTAATTGGGCTGTGACTTATTCACGTCATTTATCACTTCATTCGACGTCAATTCCTGGCATCACCTTGGTCATTCAACTAACGTGAAAAGACATAACTCAAACGTCATCTTGTTGCCTGGGTATCGTTTTCCATGTTAATTCCTCATCAATCCAAATACCAAGGTATTTGATATGGGCAGTTTGTTTTAAACGTTCATTTTTCATTCTAATATTAAAATCAATATTTTGTTTATTTCCATGACCAAAAATTATATTTTTGGATGCATGACAAAAACAAAAACAATTAGATGACAGGGATTGCATGTCAACAAATAATTGTCAGATGTCAGTTCGTTATAGTTTTTATTATATTATAGATATGAAAAAATATGAATGGCTGAAAGATAACTGGACTTCAGGTTACTGAGGAGGGTTGGACGTCCGAAATGAGTTCATTTGAATAAAGTCCTTTAAACTGTTTGTGAGAGATATAATTCCCATATCACTCATATGAATGATCTTTTTCGCAAGTTTCAAGCTCAACAAGATAATAATAATAATAATAATAATAATAATAATCATAGTTAATACAAGTATATTTCACTTATACATTTCAATGTTAATTTCAAACCTGAACATATTAGTAAGTTATATTTGTATATCATAATACATCATATTATTACATTTATCCGATTTGAGAGAGAATGTCAATTCTCAATTTATTTTTCAAGCTCTCCTTTTGGATGTTCAACAGATATAATTCAATGTTCGTCGTGGCAAATAGCCAGGAAAGTAGTTGTTTTCTGTTGAATATTCAAAATGATATTATGTGCACATAAATAATTTTATCTGAGGGAAAATGCAAATTCTCAACTTCAGAAGATTATGTTTCCAAATTCTGATCGATTGTATTTTATTTTCATTTCAATAAACTAAGAAAGAGTTGAAATTTTAATCACATAGAGAATGCGAATTCTCAATGTATTTCTATATATCTCAATTTTTTCATGTTCATAATTTATCTGAGAATATTCCTTTTCAATACAAAAATTATTTAAATTATTTATTGAGTCTTATTAGAATAATTACAAAAAAGATTGGAATGGAGCGATTTCCCTTTTTTTTTCAAGCCCTCATTTATGATATGTTCTAGAATCACTATGTTTTTAGTCTCATAGAGGAGTAAACTTAATCATCAAACCATAAATAGCCTCACCTGCGGATGAGGAATATGCTGTGAACGATCCCTCTCCCTCTCGCCCTGACTCATCGGCGGCATCGAACTGCCCATCGTCGTGTTGCCGGACGTGGGAGCGCCCATGGGCGTCTGGGGAGCACTTCTTGGGTTGGCTTGTGACGTCGGCGTGATACCCGGCGGGAGCGGGGGAGATTTCGTGCTGCGCGGGGAAGAGTTCGGGGTGCTTCTTGGAGATGATTGGTGATTCTGATAAATAAACAGGGTCACTTTTAATTCTATAATAATTAATGAAGTTTTTCATTTTGATGAAGTTTTCATTTTTTTAAAGAAACTTGTACGATGCATGAAGGGAATCCACCCTAGTGTCTCCTGCAACATAGTATTTGTTGAATTGGGGATCATGACTACCGTCACTCTATATATATCTCTTGATTAAAGATATAATGAATAATGAATTTGCAACAAAAAATCGTGATGTTCATAATTATGAAACACGTAATCAGCTACATTAGTCTTATTCCAGACTCGCAGTCAGTCAAAACTCACACCTATCAACAAATAAAATTTTATAACAAATTCCAAAATCTCTTCGGCGACAAAGAAAATAAAACCAAATTTGAAGATGAGCTAACAGCATATTTCTTAAACAATGCATTTTATTGTACAGATGAATTTTTAGCAATGTGAATAATTTGAGATAACTGTAATGAATTGTGTCAATTGTGAATACCTACCTGTATTAACTAGTAATGTTAATGAATAACTGTTGTACCAGCTACTTATTATAATTGTATATTCCAAATTTGACTAGTCCAATGATCTTTTCGTAAATTTTATATTCTCATAATATGTACAAAAGTTTCCAGTGATGAACAAAGTATTTGTATTTGATACATTCTTTTGAAGATGTGATAGGGGAGGTGATGAGTAGTGAATTTCACCCTAATATGCATTATGCAAAAGTTGATATAATTTTTGGGATATTAATTTCTTTCTTTTTTTCTCCAAAAGGTACTCTCAGAGGGTTTAAAAGTTAGTTTTCCGGAAATCTGGTGCACATTATTTCAACCTTTCGACTAGTGTTGATCATGTAACACTATGGTCTTATGTTTAAAATGAAAAGATTCCAGAAATAATTTGCAGATTATAATACTGTAATGATATTTCCCTTAGAGGGGCTCTAGAAACATCATCAGTAAGACAGGAGTACAACGATCATCCTGTAACACGCATCCCAGATTGTTCTCCATCCTTCCAATGATTCCTACATATACACCAGCATATTTCCGAACACTCAATATATGCCGCAGTGACAAATAACGTGACAGAAGATTCTGGAATATTCTGGAAACTTGGCTGGAACTTGAACCTTTCAAGATGACACATTATAAAAAAAAAACAGATCCGGACTTGGGAAAATATATTTTTTTATTGTTATGTCAAGAAGGTTCACTTTGTGATCAGTTCACGGCACACTTCTGTTGGATATAAAATGACAGAAGAGTAGGTAGTTGAGGAAAAAAGCATGTTATTTTTTTATCAACATTCTAGATACATATTATTATTCGTGACTTTGTTTTATGGATATCAATTGAAGTATTGATGAAATAACTAGGAAAAAGCCAAATACTCAAAGTGGAATGCAATGGTTACAAATGGAAAGAAACTCATTACCACAATAGTTCATAAAATGAACGAAAATGGTAGAAGATAACGAGAGAAAAAAAGTACTTTTCTGGCAATATGCCATGCAGAACATTGGATTACATCCTCCCGAAATCTATGCAATAATTCGTATATAGGGATTCCCTTTCGTGCGCTCCAAGCGATAAAAAAAAAAAAAAACGTTGAGCTGCGCCTGAGTGGTTCAGGAACGTGTGACTGCCTGCAGACCGGTTTCGTGCTGTTGGCTCTCATCAGAACAGGGCTGTCCCAGATAGCTTCTTGACGCTATCTGGTGCGAACCTGACCCAACGTAAACGCATCTCAGCATTTATACCCCACGAGGCGTTCAACGTCCGCGAAATGAAACGCGAACGCCCAACACAGAGCAAGGAGAGAAACACTCCAAAACAAAATTCCATTTCAGGCGAAATGGGAGTGGCTGCTTGCCTAACTGGCGTATTTTCAACTAGGAAAAAGCCAAATACTCGAAAGTGGAATGCAATGGTCACAAAGAGGGAGAAACAACTCAAAGTCATTACCACAATAGTTCATAAAATGAACGATAAGGGTGGAACGAGAGAAAAACAACTAGGAACTTTCCTGGCTATATGCCAAGCAGACCATAAAATTACATCCTTCCAATATCTATGCAACGATTGGTAAAGTGATACTTACTTGATACGTAAATCCAAATCAAAGACGAATACAGCTGCAAGTGCATTTTTCCTAAATCACTTGTAGCTGTAATCGTCTTTATGAATCGTTACATATAGATATCGGGAGGATGTAATCCAATGTTCTGCGTTGCATATAGCCAGGAAAGTGATTGTTTTTCTCTCCTTATCTACCATTTCCGTTCATTTTATGAACTATTGTGGTAATGTCTTTGAGTTTCTTTCTATTTGTAACCATTGCATTCCACTTTGAGTATTTGGCTCTTCCTAGTTGAAAATACGTCAGTCCTGCAACCAGCCACTCCCATTTCGCCTGAAATGGGATCTTGTTTTGGAGTGTTCCTTTCCTTGCCCGGTGGCGTTCGGCGTTCGCGTTTTATTTCGCGGACGTTGAACGCCTCGTAGGGTATAAATGCTGAGATGCGTTTACGTTGGGTGAGGTTCGCACAATATAGCGGTCAAGAAGCTATCTGGGACAGCACTATAATAAATTGATTGAATAGAATGGCGACCGTTGAATATGATTTCTGGTGTTCAGTTGGCGGGAATTCGGTCGAAATGTTGAAGAAAACCAATTTTTAAATTGTCGACGTTTCGAAACTTTATTGTTTCATCTTCAGGACACTGAAGTAAAAACAAGAACAGACATATTAAAATGAGAGGTTTTGATAAAAGCAAAATAAGTTATGTAAAATAACAATCGTTGAAAATAAAACACCTCTCACACTTTACAGAAAACAACATTGATAGGTACTTACATTTAGGTTGGCTTTCCGGGTTCAAAAATAATGAAATAAATAAAATCGACATAAAGTATAAATACGTACACACAGGTTCATGAAAGACCTTAACACAGGGAGGAACATGAAGGAATGAACACACTTATGCATACAATATGAAAACGTATACAGAATATTAACAATATTCAACAATTATCATCCCAGACTCCAGTTTACTGTAGAAATCGAAAAAAATGATAGGATCGCTTTTCTGGATGTTTTACTGATTAGATCTAATAACACGATCATAGCTGACTGGTACTAGAGTCACTGGATGGTATTAGTTTGATAAGAGTTCGGACACAGCTGAACTTTTGTCCTTTTGTCGATAAACATTTGATAGGAAAAAAGTAGTTTATTTTGACGAGACCTACCAAATACTTGGTTTTGTAAAGTTCTCAGCAACTCCACTTATTAGCGCCCTGACGAGACCTACCAAATACCTGGTTTTGTAAAGTTCTCAGCAACTCCACTTGTTAGCGCCCTAGGAGCTAAGTAACATGGATCGATATAGAAAATATCTCCAAAACGATAACGTCCAGCGTAATTAAGCCCCTTATAATAATTCCCTTGATACATAAATAACTATTCACTTCTCACTGTTAAATTTTAAATTTGGTCGGCACCAAAAACGCCATTCAATAATATATCACTTTGTAGTTTACTTGATTTTCTTAGTTTCGTTTTCAAATTCTCAATTTCATTATGTAATTTTGCGATCATTTCCTCTTTTCATGATTATTTTGTTTTGTATTTTGTGTGATGATAATAATGATTCTCACAAACAGATTTTGAAATCTTCTGTTTGAAAATGGGCCTAAAATATAGTTTCATTCTAATCAGATGCTATTATGAAAAGTGAATTTTAATGAGTACCTCACAAATTTCGCTCGTCTTCAAATTGATTTTGCACCCAGGCCATTTCATATCTTCCTTCCATAAGCGACTGATTGATATTTGTTTCGGAAAATTGAATAAATGATATCCATTTTTTTTTCAGAATTGGCACAATCTATTACACAGCAAGTAATTTCCATAGCTGCTTTTATCTCGAATGTATAATTATGAAATTTCATTTCAATTCTGACGTTTATAAAATGTATTGTCAAATTCAAACAATTTTGAATGAAAAAGCGCGGGACGACTATGGTGCTCTTGTCACAATGCAAGGTGTGTAACTTAATAAATCTAAATATTCAAATACCGTAACCGTTGTCATTTCTGTGTCCGAACTCTTATCAAACTAATAACATCCAGTGACTCTAACTGGTACCATAAACCATCATACTCTGAAAGATTTATAAACTATCACTCCGATCATCCAATGACACAGAATTAACATCATTATTAATCTTAAACACAGAGCTACACACTTAGCACTTGAGAGTTTCAAAAACCAAAACCTGAAACTTATTGAAACGATGCTACTCAAAAACGGCTACCCTAAATCTTCAATTAAAAAATTAGTATACATCGACAGAACAAAAAATACACAAAGAGACATACCTATTTGTGTATTTATAGCGCAAAGTGATAGATTGCCGCTCGACAAAGAAAGTTACCGCGCGATGCGGAGCGGAGCGCGGTAATCTTTGGAGAGAGGAAATAACACTTTGTGCTCGAAATACACATACGATTTTTTCTACTAACGCAGCTTTGGGAAATAACTACCCTGAAAGTAGTAGCGATTGAAATAGTTGAAAAAGTTCTTATCCATATTATCCCATATGTTCAAAGGAAACAAAAAAAATTGAAATAACTGACAAGCCAGAAAAAAAATGTCGGGCCTACCGAGAATTGAAACTGAACCTGAGCTTCAGACCTCTGAGCCATAGTATGAATAAACTCTGCAATCAAATTGAACATTACTCATTGATGCGATAAAATTAAGATACACTGTCTTTCTGATGACAACAAAAAGTTTAAATATGAAGTATAATAATAATAATAATATAAGTTTATTCAAAAACGTTTACAAAATATACATTGGAATAAACATATAGGTAATTTGAATAAACTGGGAAAAACCTTACGAAGTTAACCTTGTAGTAAGGATGAAAAATAAATAAATGTACATAGGTCAATAAATATTTAACAATATCAAATAATCACAAGGGAAAATTGTCTC